TCTAGTTTCAGTCTTCTGCATGTAGCTATCCAGTTTTCCCAGCACCATTTATTGAAAAGAGATTCTTTTCCCCAGTGTATGTTTTTGTCAGCTTTGTCAACCTTCTGTTTCTCTTAAAGCCTTATTTACTGCTCTTATGTTCCTTTTAATTTCAGAAATTTTTTCTTTTATTTCTAATTCTTTTCTGAATTTTGTCAGCTTATTTCTGAGTTTTCGTACTTCTGATTTATGTTCTTTCATGTCTTGTGGCTTTTCTTTAATGTTTTATAATTCATTTCAAAATAACAGTAGGCTATCTTTCCATCCATTTTGTGGTCATGTCTTTAGATATGCTTTCACTGTTTGTAGAAATATATTCTTATTCTCTTTTTTCTTAAGAAAAATTTTTTATGGAATTCTGACCATGATATTTTTCTGTTGCTCATTTAAAAAAGAATTTTTTAGAGACAGGATCTCACTGTCTTGTCCAGGCTGATCTTGAACTCCTGGCCTCAAGTGATCCACCTGCCTCAGCTTCCTGAGTAGCTGGGACTGCACCCAGTTTAAACTTTTAAAAGAAGGGTTGGTTTAGATAGCTTTTCTAGGCTGAGTACAGCAGCTCACACCTGTAACCTAATCTACTCAGGAGGCTGAGGCAGGAGGATCTCTGGAGCCCAGGGGATGGAGGTTGCAGTGAGCTGTGATGGACCCTGTCTCAAAAAAATAAAATAAAATAGCTTTTCTAGCTTCGCAAAGTCTCTGCTTTTCAGTTAATTTTAAAAGACATGGCAGCTTGCTTTCTGAGATTTCTTGTTCTGTTTCCCTCCCTCATTTTATCTGGACCATTTCTTTCTTTTGTCCTGTCTTGCTTAATTTTAATTCCAACTCCAGAGGTTTCTTATTAGTGCTGGCTCTTGTCCTGTGAGAGTCCTGGCTGGTTCATTTTCTGAGTTCCCAGAGGCTAGACTGTGGACTCCTTGCACTCACCTTATCCTCGTTGTTGGGTTAGAGAAAATCTCTCATAGCTGCAGCTGCAGTTATCAGGCTGGCCTCCTGTGTTTTCCAGTTGAGTAACCTATTGGCTATTTTAGATTTCTTTTGTTCTCAGGTCCATTATTCCTTTTGGCTCATCCCACATGAATGCTGATAATGCTGATATTGTGCAGTTCTTACAGTTTTTGGTAGTTTTTCCCACCCTTTTGAATGTTGGGGTTCATGGGGATACTTTGTTACTTGTGAATGTTTTCCATGGGTTTATAGTTTTACCATTTAGTTGATCTGTTTTTATTAATATATGGGGAAATAGAGATTAAAAATCTATGCTGCCATACAGCCATCTTCCCAGAATTTCCCCTGGACCAGTTTAAATGTCTTGGAGTTTCTTTTTCTTAAATTTTAAGTTCTCTTAAATCTTAAAATCTCTGTTAGATTACAACCTTTTCTAGAGTCAGGTTTTTTTGTTTTTTGTTTTGAGACAGTGTCTCACTCTGTTGCCCTGGGTAGAGTGCAGTGGAGTTATCGTAGCTCACTGTAACCTCCTACTCCTGGGCTCAAGCCATCCTCCTGCATCAGCCTCGTGAGTAGCTGGGACTACAGGTGTATGCCATGACACCTGGCCAATTTTTCTATTTTTAGTAGAGACTGATATTTCCATTTTTAGTAAGACAGGGTCTCATTCTTGCTCAGGTTGGTCTCGAACTCCTGAGCTCAAACAATCCTCCCACCTCAGCCTCCCAGAATGCTAGGATTACAGGCGTGAGCTGCCTCGCCCAGCTTAGCTGATATAAATTCTGACAATAAATTTTCATTGTTTTCTGAATACTTTGAAATTTTAGGTTTGATTTACTCTTTGAGCCAAGAATTCTTTGAGGGAGATTTAAAATTTCCCAGAAGGTAGGGATTATTATTTTCTAGTTTTAGTCCTAACCTCTAGTTTTTTATGACTTACTAAGATTTTCATAGCTGCTTAATATATGATTACAATTCCAAATATTCTGTGGGCATTTGAAAAGAAGATGTATTTTCTGTTGTGTATTAAGATACCCATATATGTTAACTAGATATTGTTACTTAGGTCTTCTTTTGTATTCTTTTTTTTTGGTGGAAGGAGTCCATTTACTCTGTAAAATAGAGAAAGTCTTCCACTAATGTGCTTCAGTTCTGTCTCATATTTTCTGTGTTTTTGCTTTTGAATGCTGGGATGTGTGAACTGAATTTATTACTGTAAGATCTTCATATGGATTATAGTCTTTATCATCATGAGGTATACTTCTTTTGTCTTATTTACAGCTTTTGCTGTGAATTCAGTCTTGTCTAGTATTATAATCATGATCATGAATGCAGCTGTTTTATTATTTTTGGGGGTATCCCTTTGCCTACCCTTTTATTTTCAGTCCCTCTGAATCATTTTATATTAGTTATGTCTTTTTAAAACATTTTAGTTAAATTAAAATTTAAATAATTTACATGCCATAAAATCTATTTTTATATATTCATATATAGCATGTATTTGGATTTTCTTTGTTGTTCATTTTCGGCGTTATATAATAGGTGAGTTTAGCTCATTTTTACATATTAATACGATCTATGTTTGGTTTTAGTCCTGTCTGCTAGGATATGTTTATATGGTCTTTTGCCTTTTTAAATCATTTACTGTATGATCCATTATTATGGTTTCACTTTTGTGTGTGTCCTCTGATAATTTGCAAACTTTGTGTTTTTGTCTCGTAGGTTGCCTTTTTAACTATAACATAAAATGTATATTTAATCTTTTTTCTCAATTTTTCATTTAAGATTTCAATCCTGTAGAATAGTAGGAAAAAAAGTACAGCAAACATCTGCATTTCATTCAACTGGATTCACAAATTATTAATATTCTGCTACATTTGCTTTATTTCTGCCTCTACCTACATGTATATTTTGGTGGGGGGGGGGCGGATATTTGAAGGTAACTTGCAAATACCATGATTCTTCATCTGTAACTATGTATGTATCTTTTAAAAGCAAGAACATTCTCCTAGTCAGCCACAGTACCAGTATCACACCCAGGTACTCATACATGGATGAAAATCTAATGTGGAATCCATATTTAAATGTCCCCGGTTGTCCCAGGAAGGTCCTTTATAGCCTTTTTGTTTGTGATCCAGTGGAGGATCATGCATTGCGTTTAGTTATCTATCTTTTGTCTCTTTAATCTATGTCAGTCTGCCAGTCTTTTTTTTAAAATGAAAAATCCAGGTAGTTGATCTTGTAAAATGTTATAACATTTAGATTTAATCTGTTTTCTCATGATTAGATGTGGTTAAATTTTTTTGCAAGAATGCACAATATATCCTTCACATTCCATCAATCAGGGCACATAATATCAGTTTGTCCCATTATTGGTCATGCTAAGTTTGATCACATGGTTAAGGTGGTATCAGTTTTTTTTGTGGTTTTTTTTTTTTTTTTTTTT